AGCCACGGGAACCCTCAAAACCTGCGGGCCCTGAGCCTACAGCAACCGCGGCAGAGCAGAAGGAGTAGATCCCTCTTGGAATGTCCCAACCCCGGGAATGTCACGGACTCACTGCCTTCCCCCCACACCTCCGTCCCACCCAAACTGACGCAGCTTTCCAAAACCAACCCCCTCCCCAAGTGATTTCTTCCCTTCTCCATCCAGAGAGCTAGTTTGGATTCCCACCACCGCCACTACAACTCGGAGTAGTTCTACCTGACTCCTTTACGACGGTGGAGGGAGATTATCCTGGACATAACTGGAATTACAGTTTGTGATCGCAGCCGGCTCCCGGCCGTCCTCGAAGCCCAGTGATTGTTCAAAGGATCCTTTTTCTTCTCTCTCTCAGTTTACATTCCTGGTTCTGACTTTAAATGAAAGTATTTTGTGCTTTTTTTCCTAGAAATCAATGGTTTAAGAGCTAATCTGGTTAGGTTTTTATAACATCTTACTCTTGGCTTAAAACCATAAAGCTTGTAAGTCTGCTGTGTTTAATCCTGCTCTGGGGGTGTGGGGTGGACAGGGGGAGGGACATGCAGCTGTGAACTGTGAAGCAACGTTGGGTTTCTCTGTAAATAATTTCTTTTTTTTAATGGCCAAACCACTTGATTTGCAATTTTCTAACTTCTAAAAAGACAGAAAAAAAGCTGTATGGGTTTTCTTGTAACAGTTGAAAGGAATAAATGGTGACCCCTTCATGGGTGAGCTCGAGTCCTCCTTGTCCTGGCTAAGGGCTGGGGATGGTCCTAGTTGCTTATTTAGTTCACCAGCTGCTGTATTTAATCACTCCAGCCCCATTAATTGACTTGCAGCAGATGTAGAGCTGCAGCCACAAAGGACTTTCTCACACAAGCCTCTTGTCGCTGCCTTGGGCTCAGGGTTGAGCTGGCTGCTCCATGCCTGTGTTCTTTGGGATCAGGTAGGGGGGAAAGAAAAAGCCTTTACTGATAAGGAAGGGCCTAGGAGGGCTGCTGGGTGAAATTCCCATTTTTAAGCTTGGTTTCTTTAATTATAAATATTCTTTTAGACTAGGATGGGCTCCTCTTTCCTGAAAAGACAGCTTGGAGCACAAGAACCATGCACTGAGAGCAGATTTACTTGCAAAGAGAAAATGGGTGCTACTATCACTTGTCCCATCAACCTGCACAGGGACAGAGGTGATGTTTCCTAACAGGCAATAGGGCAGATGTTGAGGGCTGTGGCCTCTGCAAGCACTGCAGCAGCAGCCGCTGCACTTAATGGCCTGCTCCTAATTCCCATCTAGCTCCTGGTGTTTGGGCTGGCAAAGGAGATGGAGGCAAGGACCCTTGTTTGCCCAACGGGATGGTGGGGCCTGGAGTGAGGACCATCTTCTGTAGCCCTGCAGTAGTTGGAAATAACCAAAACTCTTAGTTTTACATAGCACATCCTCCTATCAACAGCTAAAGCAAGTGACCTGATTCCAAACGCAGCCTGATGTTCATCCCTAGTTATGTGGAGGGTGCAAAAAAATGGGTATTTTAAATGTAGTCACTGGTCTGCAACTGATTTCCAGGGTTGCTGGGGGTCTGTGGCAGGAGATGGAGCTGCAGCAAGCCCCCGGTGGGATGCAGGGCTCAGCACATCCCAGCGCAGCAGCCTGGCAGCCATTTTAGGAGACACTGGGAAGAGGAGGGCTGCTCATTGGGGAGCATGAGCTGAGCTGGCCAGGGTCACCTCAATGGTGCACTTGATTTTGTTCAAGGAGGAGAGGATTTCAATTGTCTGCTGTGGCAAAGGGGATAACAGAGTTTCCTGGAGTAATATTCCAGCAAGGAAAGTCACAACAAAGTTTTGTGCCATACAAAGCTTTGTCGTGACAACAGCAACAGCAGAATTACCATCTTTTGCTTATGAGCCTTTTGTGCCCATTCCAGGTGTGATCCCTGCTCAAGTTACAGAATTATCCTGCTCTTACTTATATAAGTTTTTTACACTTGAATACCAGATAAAACCCATTGAAGTTCATCCAAAAGATGCTCCCTTCCCAGAACATTCTTTTGCCAGATCAGTGTTGCTTTCAGAGCATCTATTGCATGAAGGACCAACTCCAAACACACCACGAAGCCAGTGCTGCTGGATGAGAACCCAGCTGTAATTGAGGAAAGAGACAAACAACCCCCATGACCCTTAGGAAAGTTGTAAGCACACAGACCCTGTGGTGTTTTGACTTACTTTTTGTGGAGAGAAAGGCCATGAGGAAAATTTCAAGGCTATTCTGTAAAGGACAGGGGAAAAGAAAAAACAAATCACAAAACCCCCCAAACATCAACCAAAGAAACTGAGGCCATCTTTCATCTGCAGCATAAAGCATTCTCCAAATAAAATGCTTTGGTGAATGGCATTTAAACCTACACATCCACCCCTCTTCCTGAAAGAGGGAAAGCAATCCTGCCTCACCTCATCTTTCTTTCCAAAGCTTTGTTACAGCTGCTGTGTTTTATGGCTGTGACCTACATTATACTTCATGATCATGACCAAGCTACCGCTCCATTTTCCAGCAATGGCTCTGAAAACAAACTAAACCCCAGCTCTTAAGCATTTCTTCTCAGCAGAAAGCAGCACAAACTCACACCACCCATAGAAACGTACCAGTTTTATTACAAAGATTCTCAAAATTCAAAATAAAAGCATCTTTAAAAAACCACACTATATCCCCCCCTCCCCAACCCCAACACAAAGATACACTGATCTCTCTTGCTTCACATACAAACACTGAAAAGCTGGAGTGAGGTGTCACTCAGATTCAAAAAGAGACTTAAAAACTCATGGTGGAAAAGGGAAAGGAAGTATTTAAAAAAATAAAACATTTAAAAAATAACCTGTGTGAAGTTAGCAGCATTATTAGAGTTGAAACCATCAGCAGTGCTCCGTGGGAGGTACAGATCCTCTTGGGGCCAGAGGAATCCCCCTGAGGAAGGAGAGCAGCGAGTCAAAACTGCCTGCAAAACTTCAGCAAAGCATTTTCCCAGAAGCTTATCGAATGATCAGCTGTACACAACGAGATGCAAAAGAAAGGCCAGTTCTGGTCACAAAAGACCTCTGCATGTGAGATAATGCGTGGGAGTAGGAAGAGGAGTAGTTATAAAAACTCAGAGCCCCATCTGCTGTTCCCTTATAAAGATAACAGCTCAGGAGGCTGATAAGAAGGGTCTCCTTGCTTACTGGCCTTGAGAGCAAGAGAGAGGAAAGGTTTGGTTTGAAAATGTTTGTAACTTCACTTCAGAGAAGAGTTTTTCAGTGAGTGATACACATCCACAAGAGATGTCAGCCAGACTCTGTACACAAGTTGGGAATTTCTGCGGCGGTTTCAGCCTAGGACGTGGCTCAGTACTGAGGAAAGCACAAGATGGCACATGCAGCGTGGCCTCAATGAGCAGGGAAAGCAAAGCAGGCAGCCAAATGGGCAGTAACTCACTTCCCTCCCCAAAGAAGGGCGTAGGTATAGAAAAAAAAAGGTATAAAAGTTTCATCCCTTCTCTTACTCGAGATGCAGAATGCCACACCAACTGGATCTGCAAGAGCTTGGAAAGTGTTAACCACCACATGAAGGTGATTTTCAGTTTGCATTTTCCAGATCTGCACCCTCAGGGCTCTGGGGCTGGTTCACTTTTCAGATTGCTTTTAAGCTGCTTCATCTCTTTCTGCAAGTTTGCTGCAGGGAGGTAGCCGACTCTATTCAAGAACTGCACTATTTGACCCTGAGAAGCGGCACCAGCTTGCAGTTACTTGCCATGATGGAATCAAACTGAAAACCAAAGGAATAATCAGTCTCTCACAGGCTTCATTCAGGAACTTGGATTCTCCCACAAAACAAAAAGGATATAAAGCAGGAGAAAGAAAATTCATGGCCATCTTTCCACCTAACTGGAAATGCAGATACTACTTCTACTTAAGTTATTCTTTTCCACGGGTGGTTATTTCAGAGGAAAGAGTAAAGAAAGGAAATGATTTTTTCTTAGACACACTAAGGAGGCAGTGGAAGGCAAGAGTGAAACTTCCCAGTAACCAAATCTGGGCAGTGCAGGTCTGTCTACTCTGCAGAATCCTCCCTATCTGCTCCCAGCAGAGTGCAGCAAGGAATAATTTACAGTTCTCAAGTCATTTATATATTTATATAGAAATATATACAGAAACATATATAAAATATAAATCCTATGGAATAGGAGGCAACCAGAGAAGCTAACCTATGACAGCTATGCACTGACAGTACTGTCCAGCTGCAGCTATCTCAGGTGGATTTCGTCTCTTCCTTCACCCTGTGGAAGCAAGCAGTGAAGAATTTGGTTCAAACAAGCAGCCCAAGCTTTCATAACAAGTCAGGGTTGCTTGCTTGACCCTAAAAATGCTGCTTATATGGCCCATCTTCATCTAAAACTTGTAACGTTACTAATGAAGGCACAGTATTAAGCCCCTTCCATGGAGGCTCTCACAGTGCTTTATCGGGTGTAGGGTTCTACACAGGCAAACTTCTTCCCATTGAGAGCCCACGACAAAGCCACCCAAATCACCATGTCCCTCCTCCAACCCCTCAACTTCTGCAACATCTCACTGAGGGAATGGGTGCTATTTAACCACAATGCCAAAAGATGGGGCTCACCCTTTGGGTTCTGCTTTCTCCTCTTTTGCCTTTTCCTCTTCTTTCTCATCTATGAAAAAACCAAAAAGACACACAGTAGGGCAGTAGGAAAGTACATGCCAAGCAAAGTTCCAGAGCTGGGAGGGCTTCTAGTCCTAGCTCTCAACCTTACCCTTCTTCTCCTCTTCCTCCTTTTCCTCTTCAGTTTTCACACGTTTAGCTTTCTTGAAGTTGGCAACGTTTTTGCGCCCTCCTTCCCCTTCATCTTCAGAGTCAGAGAATTCTTCATCACATGATATTCTCTTGTCAGAATTGCGGACTGAGCATGAAGAGGACAAGGAGTTGTTTCAGGGGATTTAGAAGTCAGGAGAGACCAAGCACTAACTTCTCCAAGTGCATCTATACATTGGAATGAACTACCAAGCCTATGTAAGTCAGAATTAGGCCATGATAAAAACTTTATCTTTCTACATGCTGTATCTTTTAAGCTCATCACTCCAACTGCTCATGCCCAAGATCCCAGATCACATGTACGACTTGGAACAGTCATACCACTCGGAACAGGTACAGTGTGATGTCTAGACTTGACAGCATAAGCAAGTTAACCAACCTCACACTGAGAAAATCTGTCTGCCAGATCTAAAGGCCATCAGCCAATCTGGATATAAACTACCATTTTCACTGTGGAAGACAACTTGTGGGATCAAACCTGACAGTCTCCCAGAAAGCATCATAGCACCTACATCACAGGAACTGTTTAAATTCTCACATTAAAGCCTAGGTTCTTCCATTATGGAAATCATTTGGCAAGAGTGCTGCCTCTCCAAGGGAAAAAAATAAAAATCTATCAGCCCTGCAGTGCTGAGCATCATCACTTTATCTTACAACATCAATGGGAAGATTCCAACTGAAGGACTACAGAATCAAGCTGTATCTAAATCACCTATCGTCCTCTCTTTATGAAGGTAACTCAGTCTGAAGCCTGCATGCTTCTCCAGCTAACACATCCTGCCCAGCTTTGGCACCCACAGGCTCTGCAATAGTACACTGCCCAGCCAGGCAACACAACCACACCAGAGACAAGCACATACTTGAAATGCGTTTCTCAGGATCTTCTTCCTCTTCATCCCCACTGTCTTCCTGAACAGCATCCTCAGGAATTGGCTGCATCTGGACGCCAGGAGCATGAGGCAGCATGCGCAGATTCTCAAAGAGTCGTTGCCTAGAGCCAGCCAGGAAAGGAACACCTCCGTCAGCAAGATGCCATCCGCGGCTGTGAAGCCCTCAGTGGAAGGTGTCAGTCTCGCGAAGAGGAGCAAACACTTACTTGATCTTCTCGAGATACTCATTGGTATTCTGGTTAGTCATGTTTGAGGGACTGATGTGGAGCTTAAAATCTGGTCCAAAGTACTCAAAATAGTCATTATACGGAAGTTCTGCAGGCAAGTTAAAAAGGAATAAACACCAAATTACTGCTGGACTGGTGATGAAATACCACAAACACTTTATACTTCTACAGAAAAGCACGACTGCGTTTACCTGGGCATAGGAGCCAAAGCTCTCCTAGCCCAAATTCAGATCAAAGCAGATAATTTGGCAACAGTGCAGTCAAAGCTTACTTGGCAGTTAAATGCTATCAGTGCACACCAAAGTTTTCAGTACAAGGTCATCTCATTTCAGTAAGTTGGCAAGGCTGCTGGGTACCTTTTGCTGGAAGGGAGAGCTGCAGGACTAGAATGCAAACAAGAGCTACTGCAAACGAAGGCATCCAAAAGCTCCTCCAAAGTAATAATCAAGAGGTAATGAAACATCTCAGGGTTGCTACCTCTCCCACAGCAACATCATTTTCCTGTGCTCTGTTACTAGAGTGTCCCTTAGTCCTTAGTCTTGCTTCAAACAGGAGAATTACCATTGGGAATTTCCGTGTCCAAAGCCACAGCAGTCTCATAGGTCCAGCATCTAGCCACATTGCGGATTGTGTAGCCACCTCCTCCCAGCATCAGCATAGGCAAATTAAAACTCTTTACAAACTCCACACACTTGGCATGACCTGCAGCAAAAGCAGCGGGGGAAAGCAAGGTCACAGCCTCATGGCATAAGAACAACAAACTTTCCAATGAAATCTCATTTTATCAGTTATGCCCATCCAATACAGGCACTGTACAGTACTCTTACCTTTGATGGTCAGATTAAAACACCCCAGCCTGTCCCCCGACAGAGAATCTGACCCGCACTGCAAGACAACTGCGCTAGGCTGGAACGTCTCCATCACTTTAGATATCACCTAAACAAGAAACTCGTTGTTACACACTCTCCACAGGACAGTGTCACAGCAACACAGTAATATCCATGTCAGCAAGTGACATGAAGACATCCCTACTGTTCCTACAGCTGCTGACTCCCCTATACTGGTAACACTGAGGTTCTTACAAAGAGAAGCTTACTGCTGACAGGCTGCAATTGTTAGGGAGGAATACAGACTGAATCAATCTCCCCAAAGACTGGCTTCATGAGCCACCCAATGACAAAGTATGAACCACAAGGAATCACTCAGCAAAGTGAGTGATATTCGAACTCACCGGCTTGAATATTGCTTCATAGGACTCATCATCGATTCCGTCCCGGAGGGGATAGTTGACAGCATAGTACTTGCCTTTGCCTGCACCAATATCCTATTAGAGTGGAAGACAGGAGAGACCACAAGTCACCAGAGAACCAACTGCAACACAGAAATTGTTTTCCAAATTAGGAAGGGAAGCCTGGGATTCCATCAGTGTAATCTGAATGTAAGCCCAGGATTTGTCTCATGGACAAATACTGTCCTGACAGAAGGCAGCAAGAGGCAGTTGACTCCAACCGCAGATTATTGGCATAAGTAGGTGCATTGGCCCTCAATGTTCAGAGAACAAAAGTCTACTTCTACATGTTGCTCTGAGCACACAGGCTCCCATTTCCCTTGGCAAAAGCACTTTCTTACACAGCAATAAAACTGGCAGCCAAAGCTCCAGTTCCAAACCTGTACGCTGCAGAGATGAGCAGCCCAAAATACCAGTTTGGGCTAACTGTGCAGCCTAGTAACTGAAAGAATCTATTTTTAAGATGATAATATATA